CAAATCGGGATGATTCGGAGGCAGAGATTTTTCTTTTATTTTATGTGATTTTTCGTGAAATTCAAGTGCTTTCGAGTAGTTACCCATGCTGTTATACACCGAACCGATGTTGTTGTAGGAAGTAGCCAATGAGGGATGGTTTGGAGGCAGAGCTTTTTCATAGATTTTATGTGATGTTTCGTAAAATTCAAGTGCTTTCGAGTAGTTACCCATGTTTCTATACACTTCACCGATGTTGTTGTAGCAACTAGACAACGAAGAATGATCTTCCGGAAGAGTCTTTCGATAGATTTCAAGTGATTTTTCATAAAATGAAACTGCTTCTTTATATTGCCCTTGGTCTGGTTTCAACAGTCCAAGCATATGATATATATGTGCTCTGTCATCGTCGCTGGAAGCTTTCTTGAGTAATTCGTTGTAAAGTTCTTCCGCTAGATTGAAATGACCCACTTTGAGCATTAGATGACCCAATCGATGCCATCCTGTGGATCCAAGGAGATTCTTTTGTATGAATTGGGTAAGAGCAGCCAGTTGTGGATCATTGTCGCCTGTAAGACTTAATTGAACTTCCCATAGAGGACTGTTGCTGACTACCTGTTTGATATCATCGACACGAAAAACACTGTGCATTGAAAATAAAATTTCTTTTTCGCTTTTGATAGCACTGTACTGGTCGATAAGCGCAAATGAAGTAGTTGAAACTGAAATTTTACTTGGACCAATTGTCATGATGAAAAGAACACCTACGATGTCTTTATCCTTGTGCGTGGCACGTTGAACGAATCTCATAGCGATCTGTTGTTTTGTACTGGTCGACAAGAAATTATTAAACGAGAGAAGTCCACCTTTCGAGTCGATTAAATGTTTAAAATCCTGTTGTGAAAGCCCCTGACCTCGATAAACGATGAACTTTGTCATAGAGGCACCCGATTGTTCTCGATGAAGTTTCTCTAATTGTCGATGGAGCGAGCGGATGAAGAAACCCATTTTTGTCATTACCTCCATGTCAAGTGACCGTAGGGCACAATTGAGCATGCCGTAAAGAAAAATTTGCCGAGTATACCACCAGACTGGCGATTTATCGTGGTATCTACCCTGAAATTCCTTTAATTGCGATTCAGGAACACCTTTGTTACTGCAATAGGCGACAAGGTCACTCATCGACTTAGCGTCGTCTTCATCGATTTCCAATAAAATTTCTTTGAATAATGTTGAATACATAAAAGACGGCTCCAATTGGTTGAGATTGCGTTCGGCAGATGCAGCTGTTGCTACCACCATCTCTTTTGGAACGAAACTCATCGGCATTGCGTCGTGATCGCATTGACGAGCGACTTTTTGTAATGAATCGCAAATTTGTGCAATTTCTGTAAAGATACCTTGAATTTTTGGCAAGTTTGTTGCCCATTCTTTGTGTTGTGTTTCATTCTCAGAAAAGATGTAAATGCAGTCAAGATGCGCAATGTCATGTATCAGAGGTATCATTGGTTGGCTCATAGTACTTGCTACAACGAGGAACACCTTTCTGTCATCGACTTCAGTGAGAAAGTCAACGCATTCATCCGATTGGGTGAAAGTATGAACGTCATTAATGACATTGCGTAATTGCGCGAGCGCATTTTGGCAATTCTTATTTGCCACATCAATGTTGCCGTCTATCCAGATCAACGAATAATCTTGAACTCGGTGTTGTTTCGCTTCAATGGTATTTGAAGATGTTCTTGAAGTTGTAATGGCATCGATTTGTGACGTAGAAACTGTTGTCTTGAACATGTGTCCACTCATACTGTATATGATATGCTGCTTGAGTGATAATCTAGAATTGTGAGTAATCTGCAATGGGCTGAACAGAAATCACGTTGTTCATTTATACAGCTGCTGTATTCTGCTTTTTTCTAGACTTACAATTTCAAATGTAAGTGTTTTTATTCGTTGACACTCAGTAAACTCTACCTAGCTTAACTTGAGAATATAACTGTGAACAATAAACAAAGTAGAAAAAGCCCTGTAACTTCATTCATGGGATTATTTGTCTTTCCAAGTTTTCTTTAGTGATTATCTCCACAATCACTTGAGTGTCATCGCCTTGGATGGTGTGTGGCAGTCGGTGTTGGTGTACATGAAAAGAAAATACACGCTCACATCCATGCCCACCCTCAATATGGGGTGTGGGTATATGGGTGTGGATGTGGGTGTGTGGTGTGGGTGCTGGTGTGGATGTGTGGATGTGGGGTTTGGGTGTGGGTGCGTGTGGAGTGTGGTGTGGGTGCACTGTAAAACAAATAGATACTTTTCTGGGCCCTCCAAAAAGGTCTCGTAGGTGTCCAAAAGCTTCCAAATGCGTTCAAACGCTCAAAAAAACGATTTCACAAATCTACGAAACCTTAAAAGGATCTGACCGCGGATACACGGTCGGAACCATCTCCTACGAAACCTTTTCAAGTTCCGTACAACGAAAAAAAGGTTTCGTAAGAAAATACGAAACCTTTATAGTTTCCTAGTAAAAATAATGGTTTCGTATAAAACCGTAGTGCGAAACCATAAGGTTTACTAAGAAACTATAAAGGTTTCGTATTTTCTTAAGAAACGTTTTTTCGCTGTATGGCACTTGAAAAAGGTTTCGTAGGAGATGGTTCCGCCCGTGTATCCGCGGTCAGACTCTTTTATGGTTTCGTAGATTTTTAGAATCGTTTTTTTGAACGTTTGAACGCATTTGGAAGCTTTTGGACAGCTGCAAAACCTTTTTGGAGGGTTCAGGAAAGTACCTATTTTTTACAGTGTGGGTGTAGGTGTGGGTGTTGTCAAGAAAAGATCTATGTTGAAACCCAAACCCAAACCTATACCTACACTCACATCCACACCCACCCACATCCAAACCCATACAGACACCGACACCCACACCCACACCCAATATTCAAGTGCTTTCGAGTAGCTACCGAAGTTGTCATACACCGAACCGATGTTGTTGTAGGAAATAGCCAAATCGGGATGATTCGAAGGCAGATCTTTTTCTCCTATTTTAAGTGATTTGTCGTAAAATTCAAGTGCTTTCGAGTAGTTACCCATGTTGCCATACGCAAGACCGATGTTGTTGTAGGAAGTAGCCAATGAGGGATGGTTCGGAGGCAGAGATTTTTCTTTTCTTTTAAGTGATTTGTCGTAAAATTGAAGTGCTTTCGAGTAGTTACCCATGTTGTCATACGCAAGACCAATGTTGTTGTAGGTGTTAGCCAATGAAGAATGATCTTCCGGAAGAGTTTTTCGCTTGATTTCAAGTGATTTTTCATAAAATGAAACTGCTTCTTTATATTGTCCTTGATGGTCTTTCAACCCTCCAAGCATATGATATATATCTGCTTTATCCGTATCGCTGGACGAGTTCTTCAGTAATTCGTTGTAAAGTTCTTCAGCTTGATTGAAGTGACCACCTTTGAGCATTAGATGACCCAGTTGATGCCATCCTGTGGATCCAAAGAGCTCCCCTTTTATGCGTTCAGTAAGAGTAGCCAATTGTGGATCACTATCGCCTGTAAGGCTTAATTGAACTTCCCATAGACGTTTGTTGCTGACTGCCTGCTTGATATCATCGACGCGAAAAACACTGTGCATTGAAAATAAAATTTCTTTTTCACTTTCGATAGCACTGTATTCGTCGATGAGGGCAAATGGTGTAGTTGAAGCGGAAATTTTACTTGGATCAATTGTCATGATGAAGAGGACACCCACGATGTCTTTATTCTTGTGCATGGTACGTTGAACGAATTCCACGGCGACCTGTTCTTTTGTACTAGTCGACAAAAAATTGTTGAACGAAAGCAGTCCTCCTTTCGTGTCGACTAGGTACTGAAAGTCTTCTTTGATGAGTCCTTGACCCCGATAAACAATGAGTTTTTTCATATAAGTACCTGACTGTTCTCTGTGCAGTTTCTCTAATTGCTGATGAAGATCTCGGATGAAAAAGCCCATTTTTGTCATCGCTTCCATGTCCAATGATCGTAAGGCGCAGTTGAGCATGCCATAAACAAAAATTTCACATGTATACCACCAGACTGGCGATTTCTGGTGATATGTACTTTGAAAGTCCTTTAATTCGTTCTCTGCAACACCTTTGCTACGACAATAGACAACCAAATCGTTCAGCGGCTTAGCATTGTCTTCATTGATTTCCAATATAATTTCTTTGAATAATACTGAATACATAAAAGCTGGTTCTAATTGGTCCAGATTTTCTTGACCAGATGTTGCTGCCATCGTTCGCTTCGGAACGAAACTTATGGAAATTGCATCGTGATCACATTCCCGAGTGACCTTTTTTAAAGAGTCACATATGGGCTTGATTGAGGTGAAAACGCCTTCAATCTTTGCCCAGTCTTTGGCCCATGCTTCATGTCTTGTTGTATTGCCACAAAAGATGTAAATTGTGTCCACTTGTGGCAAATCATGA